CCAGCACGAAGTCCGCATGGCTGAGGATGGGGGGGAGGCCGAGGGCTTGTGAGACCTCCCAGAAGGGGACAGCAAGATTTCGGGGCAGAACCTGAAGGGCAGAAAGCACAGGAGGAGACAGGGATGCTGTCAGGGTGGTGGAGGGTGCCAGGGCCAGGCAGGAGGCTGCAGCCTCAGGAAAGGGGCTTTGCTCCCTTGGGGTGAGTCCCAGGGAAGCAACATCAGCCCCCAGATCCTTTTACCTTCACGGTGCCCTCCTCGCCCTCCTGCCAGAGGTAGCCCATCGTGATGAAGCTGAGCACCAGATGTGCCAAGTGCAGCTCCTCGCGTCCTCGGAGGTGCCGGGCGCTCAGCTGCGGCATCTGCCAGGGAGACCCACGGGAGCAAAGGGCTAGGACAGGCGATGCCAAGGGCCCATGCAGTGAGGGGCTGCAAGCCTCCATTCCCTCCCACCCTGCAGCATTTGCTACGGATTTGCTGTTGCTGATTTGTGAACACTGACAGTAAACTGCAGGATTTTCCCCCAAAACTGCCTCCCTCTCCCTTGTGCTGGGCTGGACACGAGAGTGGCCAATCCCTATGTGCCAGAGGGGTCCGGCCGGGCTGGGGGGGCTCCTGGAGTGCCCGGGCTGCTCAGTGGGGAGCAAGGCTGGGACGAGCCACAGCTCTCGTGACATCCAGAGGGTTTCCTTTGCCGGTGCACGCCACGCTCCAGCCCTCGCTGCCTGGGCTGGCCAGTGCACCCCAGGATCTGGGGGTTATTTCTGTGCCCATGTTAAGGCTTTGCTTTTGCATTAGTCCTGTGAGCACCTGTCCCTGCTGAGGACACAGCTCTGCTGCTGGTTTGCTTTTCCACGCGTTCTGCAGGCGCTCCTGTGTCCGACCGAGGTTTGAGTGCGCTACGGGACCAGGAGAGATAACGTGGGTACCTGGTGGACTTGTGAGCGGAGCCGATGGCTCGCAATCAGCCGAGGCAGGTCGTGGGCAATCTCCATCCAGGGGCTGTAGGGCGCTGGCAGCTCTGTCTTGGTAGAGAGAGGTGAGACGGAGAGCTGTAAATGCACTGAGACCAGCAGCGCAAGGCTGTGTCTCTTCACCATCCTAGAGTGGGGAGGGTAGCCCTGTGCCAGGCTACGGGGACACTGGGATGGGAGCAGAGGGCTTGGAGATAAGCCCAGCCCTGGGTAAACTTTTTGGAGTCGAGGCCAGATGCAAACTGCTGCGCCGGTGCCTGCTCTGGCTGTAACACAGAGAAGGGAACTGGGGAGTGATGGCAGATGCACGGGCAGTGCTGGAGCTGGGAGGAGTGGGAAGCTCCAGCGGGGGCCGTGCCGGACATTCCTGGGCCCGGAGGTCCTTTGCCGTGCCATCACACTTGCAGAGCTTTTCCTAGGGCTGCGCTCATGCCTGCAGGGAAGGGAGTGGGCTCCCAGCATCCCCCCAGCCTTGCACATCGCCGCTAATGGTTCATGTCCGGGTCGCCCTCTTGTAACACCAGCGCACGTGATCGCGAATTAAGGGATGATGAACAAGTATCTGCCTGTCCCTGTTCGCTCCCACCATGAAGTGAGCCCGGTGATAAACAGCACGGCCCTCGGCACGGGAGATCTGCAGCCTGACTGCTCTCCTCATACTCCCCGAATTGGGGAAAGCCAAGGCTGATTAATGTGTGAGTTGCAAAGCTCCTTCTCCTCTCCCCTTGTGCCGCTTGCTGCAGCCACTTTAATCATTTTTAAAGCGAGGGGTTTGCCCTGTGAAACTACCTAAGCCAAAACAGCACGTGTCTTCCTCGGTGCCTTTACATAAACCGTTATAGAGCAGCGTTAAATTGAAACCCAGCCAGAAAGGCGCTCACCAACCCCTCTATTTCTCTGTCTCTTGTAGCACGCAGACACGGTGGCACAGCCGTCTCCTACCAGAGGATCAGGAAGAAGGAAGCCATACTCCTCGGAGAGCTGAAACCTGGTCAGCACCAGCGGGGTCTCCTCCGTGCTGTTGCCAGTCTCCATCACCGGGCACTGGCTGCAGGATCGGGACGTGCTCTGGCTCAGCGGAGATGCACCGGCTGCCCCGCTCCCGGTATGTGCTGAGCCAGCAGCGTGTGCCCTGGCCACGGGAGTGTACCTTGTCCCGGGGGGAGCCAGCGTCCGGCCGCCCAATGGTCGGAGGGTCTGAGCAAACACGGCTAAAGGTTGCTGATAAGGCGCTGTCGTGGAGCAAACACTGATCTCCGTCCCCGTGGGCCTATGGGGAAGGCTCAGGGATGATCCAGGGGCTGTGAGCTGGCTCCCCCCTCAGAGCTGCAGGGATGCTCCAGGCTCCCACGAGGAGGCTGCATCAAAGGGGCCTGGGGTGCTTCAGGCTGGTGGCAGCTCAGGGATGCTGGGTTTCCCCAGGATCCTGGCAATGCCAACCTCATGTCCCACAGGCCGTGCTGGGACTGCAGCATGGATCCCATGCCACGGCACAGCCCTGCAGCCATCGCAGACACCAGGTACCACCCTGGCACGGCAGATGTGTGCTGGGGGCTCTAGGAACAGCCTGTGTGTGACACCCCCAGGGGCCTGGGGACCTTTATTCCCACAGGAGCAACATGGAGAGGCACAAACCGTACCCTCAGCTCGCATGCGTATTGCCCAGCACAGCCAAAATCCGTTAATGGGAGCCGCATCCAAAGCAGCTGCCACTGCACAGCAGGCAGAGAACCTTCCCAATCCACGTTTCGTGTCACCTAAGGGTTCATTTGCATTCCCAGCAAACTCCTGAGTGACGTGGTCGTGCCAAACAAAGGGTAAGACCGTAATGCCGGTTGTAATTGGGGGTGGTGAATGGCGTGCTGGTACCATGCCCGCACTGGAGCACCGGCCAGGCTCCCCCCAGCTGCACGTGCCCAATCCCAGGGAGGGAGAGTGGATGATGATGCAGAGAGGGTAATTAGGGAGAGGAGGCAGAGCAGTGGGAGTGTTACTCATGGAAAGGATGGAGGGGTTTTGTTTGCTGGGGTCTGCTGGTGCTGGGCAGGGCACCCCAAGCCCACCCAAGCATGAGTGCCTCAGTTTGCCTGCCCAGGGACGAGGTAGGCTGCAGCTGGAGTGGGGAGGGGACCACCCAGCCAGGGTGGGGGATTTCCTGGCGTGACGCCTGCTCTGATGAGCCAGGCTTCCTCTGCCGC